GATGATAGCAGTTACCTGTGTCACAGCGTATTGTGACGAATCGCGTGTTTGCGATAAAAGAAACGCACGATAACGGATTCTATTGTGTAAGCGCGAAATAACGAGAAGTGACCATGGTCATAGGATTTGTAATCAGTTTGCTTCCCGCTTGCGATCCAACGTACAATACCGCACTTTTTAACGAATTAACATGTTTCCTGTTATAACGACGAGTTCATGACGATTTTTACTGATCGCAGCTCAGTGGAAATGAACAACGAACTGTTAAATTTGCATATTTGACCAAAAATATTGGTGTATGTTCCTCGATAACTGACATTTTCAGTGGAAAGTAATTGCTAAATAAGTTAAAGTTGATTTCGTATTGCACTTCAATTTGGTCGACTTGTTTAATTCGCTGAGTGTTGTTTCCACTTCTGGCGCAAAAACATTTTTCTGTCGACTGCTGCAGGGCATTCGAACGGAATGGCAGATAGTGAATTTTCTATATAATAATTGAATTGAAACTGGTCGTTGAAATATTTAACCACGATAGTATTTCTTATGGCAATTTACCCTAATTTTCTATACATTTCATCGAAATATTTGTTTGTCGTCTCATTATATAAATTATCTATGAAGATGAACATGATTATTTCGTATTCAATGCTGCGTAGCTTTAAAACCAGAGAGTATGGTCGGCACAAATACAAACTTAGCAAATCTTTATCAAGTTCATTTAAATCAAACTTCGTTTTAACCAGCTTTGAATTAAAAGACATCTTGCCATCTCAATTAAGTAAACTCTTTATAACCCTTAAAAGAAGCTCGAGGTAGTAATTTGCTAAACGAGTCAATTATTCTACTAATTTCGTGTTTATAGTATTTCTTCGGACAATTTCCTTCTCTTAAGCCAGATTTCTTCGATAAATTTACTTTAAAGGGGATATAAATCTCAATTACATTTTAATTGATTCGTAGAATGGCCGATTGCCCTTAAATAAGAAATATCTTCGAATCTACACAGAAAAATCCAGCGTTCTTCTAAAGTAGAGATACTTTTACCAAATAATTTCCAATAATTTTACCTACCGAATAATTTCCCTAATAAAGTCATTTGATATTTTCTTCTTTTATATTGACGGCTTTAGAATCGCATCGACGTCGAAGGTTATTAACGACTATTGACTGAATTAACGCTCGAAAGGACGAGCGACGCGGCGAAGGACTACGCATGTGTCCATTAGAATCCCAACGTACACTCATGTATATTTCATCAGGTGCCTTTTTGTATTTTTAAAATAGCGAAAAGAGACGAAAGTAAAAGATGACGCACTTAGATGGAAGGGAACTAACGATAAAATTGGGGGTCGAGTGAGATACTCTTTATCATTCTGCTTTCAGCAATTTAACTCGTATCGCGTCTTTTTTTTTAAACGTCGGACACATATGCGAAGTCGGTGGTCGATGAAAAATCCGAGCCTGAGAAATCGCTGGCAAAAATATTGCCACGACGAATGTGTATCGTACGAGGGTTGGAAAGCGCGCGCATCTGTGTAATTAGCGCAATAAATGGCTCTAAGCGATGATATATTACCTGCGAAATTCGCATGGCGCCGGGCCAAGGCTAGAATAACATCACATACGAATAAATTAACAAAAAGGGAAACGTTTAATGCCGAGGAAGAGTGACGCGACCACGTTGAACCGTTGAATAATTACATGTTAATTCGGTCCTACGCGCGTTCGACCCGTGAAAAATAATTTTTCCGAAAATTCTGTCTCGTGTTAGCCGATAAAAAATTCCGAGGGTCGCGAACATAGGTAGATAAACGAAAGACGTACGGCTCTTCGGAAACTGAAAAATTCTGGCTATTAGAATAGGGCGAATAAACGTTTTAGAGGATAAACGGAAATTGTAGGATTATGCAAGTACTTAGCGCATAGAATTAAAAAATAGGTGGTATAAGAACATTTTTCGCAGAGCAGAATATTCCTTGCTATATTGGACTCGTAATATCACGATTTCTGAATACGTTTTTTCTTCTTACCGTAATTTGTATGAAACCCATGAATGAAACCATGTATGAAACCCATTGTATGAAAACCATGTTTAAATTAAATTTTTAAAGAACAAAGTATACGATATATTGGTTAGAAAATTAGGTTATGCGATAGTAAATAGCACGCGTTATTATACTTGGAAATCTATCGTACCGATATCGTATATGGAGATTAATTGAAAATCTGATTAACGCACGTAATTACCATTACCTGATCCCCGATGGAAATTAGGGAAACTATTGTTGTTAATGTAAATCATCCCTGCAACGTTGTTACAGCGTTGATAAATTTGATTTACGAAGCCCTTAGTACGTACAGTACATCATGGAAGAAAAAATTCAGAACACGATATAAATTGTAAATATCGAATTTCGAAACAACGAGCGCGGCAAACTCGACAAAGTCACGAGATCAACGACATAAAACATCAATCATAAAATAAAACCTATCTCGAGCCACAACGGAACGATCATCAATTCAGAAAATGGAAAGCCAGCGACACAACAATGATCGGTGACCGCGTTATTAATAGTCCCGAATCAGAAATTGCAGGTTAGCGGAACTATCCAGCCGAGGTGACCGCGAGATTCCGGAACTTACGATATATCCGTGACCGCAGCCGCCGAGAATTCCCACCCCTCATCCCATAACGATCGCCGAAATCACGCTACCAACTACGTACGTAGCATCGATCACCAAAATCACGACACGTCGACTCCTCGTTATATTCGTATTACTCTTCGTCGTTAACCAGCGCGCAAATCAACCACTCTTCGTCGCAACGATCCAAAGGCGGGGGTGTATACATTTGACATGGTTCGGGAAGAGGTTATTGACCACGCAACATGATAGTCAGAGGAGGCGCGTATGCAAAGACAAGGCGCGTGCTGTCACGAGCGGAACGAGGCGGTTCTACGAGCTCGTACTAGCTGGTTTACAAGTCAGCCTGAGCGGCGGCAGTAGCGGGCGGCCTCTTGTCGCGTGGAATCGATAGTCTGCGTGCACGAAACGCCGATAAGCGCTCGGTACGCCCAACGACATTGCCATCGCGATTCCTTCTTTCGATCGTCCATGTTGAAGCATCAGGAAAAGGCTTGGAACTTGGTCGAGGAGAAGATCGAAGGTGGAAAAAGAAAGGAGGTTATCCTGCGGTGAGAGGGGCAGACGAAGAAAAACAAGCGAAGAGTAAAGTTTCGTTCGGATCAATCAACTTACCTGAATGCGAGTCGGGTGGATTCAAGTGGATACTTAAAGGAAAATGTATATATAAAATCTAAGAAAGCGATTATATTTGTACGCACGTTTGTTGTATTATGATTGCGGGACGCTATTGAAAAGTGGCGTAAATGTGCCAGAAACGAGATACGAGTTCAGTATGTATACAAATGTTTTTATTTTTTCGAGTACGTATTATGTGTTTTGCTATTTGGAAGCGTATCGTCTTACAGATTTTACGTCTCATATTACGCCACTACCTGTTTCGGTTGTAAACATAAGAAAGATTTTGTGTACAGGGAGGGTCGAACACGAAGTTCAGAAAAACAGTCGGCTCGGTTTAGGTAACCGATATCAACAAGCACGAAAGTGGAAATAACTTCTTACCTAACATCTGTTGTTTCGTTCGAATCAAGGAATACACATAGTTGAAAGAACTTCGACCTAGCTCGAAAGTCGAAAGAATATCTCGAGCGAAGAAAAACGATAAATTCGCATTGGTAAAGCGTTTCAGATTTCTTGAACGTGAACTGCTCGAAGCTTAATGAAAACGTGTGCCAAGTAAATAACAGATTGTTATTAGCGAGGAAGTTTAGGTGAGATTTAAGTTAGAGCAGTTTAAGTCGAGTAAATAACGTCAGCAAAGAGGCGTGAATTGCATTAGGGTTACGATATTTCAAATCGCGTAAGTAACAGATTCGCGCTAGTAAAAAGATATAAGGTGAACCTTTACGTGCTAGGTAAATCATAGCTTGCAATTTATCACAATTCAAGTCGATCGAATTCAGGTAACTCGACTAACTAATTCGAGCTAGGCTTAACCTGTCGAAGCTGCAACGAAATCGAACCAACGCAACCAGCGGAGAGGGTGGTGCGGGTCAGCCGACGGCGATCGAGCGAGAAAACGAGAAACTAGCGAATCCGATAAATCAATGAACGAAAATACTCGTACACGAGCACCGGAAGAAGGTGGATACGACGACGCCGGTGGCGAGGAAAGTTAGGGGCACTAGTCGAGGCGGGTGCATCGAACCAGCGCTTTGCGCGAAGATTGATAAGGGTAGAAGCGATTAAGACCGAGAGAATGATCGACTCGCGGAATTCCGCTCCCTTTCTGTCCCTCTATCCTCTCTTCCTACTCTTGGAGAGTCTTAAAGGCACGTTTCAACGGATTTTCCGCTTGATGGAGCAAAAGAAAGCAACGAAAAGAGGTGATATTAAAAATAGTCCCTCCCTGATCGAACAATCCTACCACCTACTTTTCACTACGTTTATTGTAGGAATGTAGATCGAGTAGACGCTAGGAAATAGGGAAATATGCACACGCGAGAACGAGACGCAACAATGGTACGGAGTAACGCGAGATACAATGGTCTCGCGATACGAGAAAATTCTCGTTAAATTTCCTTCGCAGAGTCTGTCTCATATAGATAATAGCGAACGAAATCAGAGGAGAACGAAAACGAGAACGCGACCAAGACACACACTCGAAACACGGATGAAATGCGTACATTACGGGTGATGTAGCTGAAGCACTCGAGAAACTGTCGGCCGCGATTGCTTGGCAAAGTAATCGGCCGACAAAACACGGGCAATATAATTAGTCGCTGTGGCGAACTACGTTCGCTCCGGTGGTTGAGGTTACGCTGGCCTAGAGAGTCCCTCGAGGCGAGGATCCACTTAGGATAACTCCGCGAGCGATCCAGCCACCAAGGGTGAAAGGTAAAGGGAAATCTACTTACCCACGGTCGCGCTCTCTTCATGTCTCGGGACTACTTCACAGCATCTCAACGACACTATTCCGCTTCTGTATCTTCCATGTCGATGGTAGCGAGTGACGATGGCGCTGGTCGAAGTACACCGTTGACTCGCACAATGGACACTAGCTCTTTCGCTTCGACCTACCACTCGACGAAGCCGGGTCCACCGTCGCTTTCTTTCTTGCTCTCTTTCTCTCTCTATCTCTCTCTCTTTCTCTCTCTCTTCCTTCGTCTAACTCCTCTACTCACAGATACGGCATACGCTTCTTCACCACCGAGTCGTCGTTCCTTTTATCTGGACTTTCCAGTGGAAACTCGGTTACCGGTTGATTCTCACCGTGCCACCACCCGACACGAGCGAAAGGTCATCGTTACTCGTTCGTGTCGCGACTTGTCCCGTGACGATATCAGGACGAATTCTCCGGTTATCTCGACTCGTGCGCGGACAGAACTAACCTCGA